AGAAGTGGTATGCATTTGGCTTACTCTAAATTGGCTCAACTGAGAGATATTACATATAACATACTTTTCTCTAAATAGTAAACATCATATTGTCAGGATACATAGATGAAAAATATTATGTAAGTATTGAAAAGATCATCATCATTTCCTGTATTTTCCTCTGGAGCATAGGATGATGTTACGTCGTTTTCAGTTCGTTTCAAGGTCGTCAACACCTGAAACCTACAATATTACATATGTACATACCTATGCCCAATGTTATGAACACCCTGAGCTACTTATAATCCTCAGACAAATGCTGCCACCTGTTATCAGAAATAATCAAGAATGGTCTATCATACCGTAAACGCTAAAAGCATATAATTTTAAATATAATCTTATATCACTTATTTTTTATTGCATAGTCCCGTAGATTCGTTGTTGTACTAATTTTTGTTTGTGGGTTAGTACAGTTGCGATTCGTTTCCGAACCTTGTTACATAATATGCGGAAAATAGATTTTCGATTTGAGTGCCCTTTTCGTTGCACCAAACAACGGTCAAGCAAAAAGCATTAAATTCATGGCCGAACGATGGATAGAGTTCATGTGCTGCAAGATGCTAAAGACTCTGCAGTAAACACAAGTGCGACTTAATATAAAGAGGCACTGGTTTGGTTCCGGTAGTTCACTTAGAAACTAGTTGTTTTTATATTCTTTATTGCAATCATCATTTTTGCATAGTATAGATGTGTTATTTAAGCAAGAAGGGGAGTATTGGCGCGTGCGCCCTCTAACAGTCTCTCTGTTGATCACCACCGCAAATCAGTTGATGTTGAACATTACGTGCTTTAGTAAAAGCTACGAAATCACCAACTAAAACAAAGATAATAGTACACCTAACAATATTAGTAATAGTAGTAGTCAGTAAGAGCACCTGAAGTAGCAAATCATGTAATAAAGACGAAGGCAAGAGCAGGCGTCAATTCGTATAGCTTCAACAATGGTCTTCGGTCATCATCATCGTGCCCGCTATTACGTGCAACTAACGATTTGCACTTTTTGCATACGTTGTACATATTGTTTTCAGCCGAGACATTTTTGTAGTGGTTTACTTAATTTTTTACTGGTTTCTTTCTTAACTAAAGTAGCTTATGTTCATTGCTTTCATGTGTTGAGTCACATTGCAGTCTAATGTATTCTGAGATCTATAGAATATATAACAATATTAACATTTATACTTTTTGCATTAGACGATGTCTGGGGCTAAGATTCAACTTCGATTTTGTCTTTCTCATTACAGTTTCTTTTTCTTACATTGATATCCTAACATTTATACCAGCAGTATATATTACAATTTAGTTTTATCTGCTTAAACATAGGCATGTATATATACAAGTATGTACATATGAGTGTATTGTTCGATTATTTTCATAAATCTGTCTCTTGACATCGTACAAATATTTAATAGGCTTATGCTCCATGTTATGTTATACAAGTATCATTTAGGACTTATTTTCTACTCCCGCAATATGTTGCTAGAGAGTATAATAGTTTTGTTCACCTAACGTTTGTTTATAATACCTAAAACCCGCCCAGCAAGTTCCTGGAATTCCTCAAAGTGCTGAGCCTTTGAAAATAGGTACATGTGGTGAAAGTGATGGCACAATAGACCCTAGGTCGCGGTGCAAACTTCATACACTATCTATTCTATTCTAACACCTAAGACTAATCGCTAAAGATATAAAGTAATATAAAATATATATCTATAACGAGGCCAGTTGAATTCCAGGGACTGTCTGCCCGTCCGCCCAACAAGCGACAATTTAAATTAAGATTTCTACATGGAAACATGTTCTCGGCTATACTTTAATATTGCCAAAGTTAAAGCAATTAGTACCTTAATGCTGGTCAACAGGGTTGAGCTGAGTATGAATGAAATTGGTCTAGACCTTAGTCTTAACCTCATACCACTAATATAATGATTTCACTCAGTTAATCTTTTACCTGTTATAATTATAATGTGAGTTAATAAGATACCAAATATGATTGTTATCATTCATAGAATAATGAATGTTGAATTCTTACACGACGTTTTTTAATATGCCTAAAGTCAACATTTAAAATGTTCGCTTAGACCTGAACTTAATACTTGTTTAATTTAAAAATTATTAAAGTGAACTATCTATATTATTAGTCTCAAGAAAATTGGTACGGTACATAAACTCTCCTAAGCATATATTGGATTAAATACAAAAAAATAACCTCTAGTTGTAAAACTAACTTTTGTAAATTTTACATACATACATACATGTGTATACTCTACAAAAACTATATCTCTCAGTGTATAACGATAAACTGTATATATATATGTCTTTAATTTTTTTAAACTATTAAGACTACATTTATTTTGAGATATGCGGTTTTTCCAACAAAAATAATATTATGGTATATTGTAAGTTCTATTTAATTTTGGTTTTGTTTTGTTTTAATTAGAAGAAATGGGATCCTGCGATTTCGCATAAACATTTTTATTTGTATTGCAAAAATTACAATGTTATATAATTATGATTGCTGATATTACAGGATCCATTACTAAGCACAGCATGGAATTACAAACATCACAAGTAAATCATAGTACCAGTTCATTATCACAAGTGATATGTGACCGTAATACCATTGGACCCAATCATAGTCATCACTCAAGCTCACATAATGTGCAGCACTTACACCAACCAACGTCACATAGTACATCTGCACTTCACCTACATTCTTCACCTGCTGGGCCTTTATCAGCAACATCAGCCCAACACTTAGCTCAAATACAATCGCATCAACACGAAAATCCATACTCGCAAGCCATTCAAAGTGATAATGAGAAAAATAAAGGTAAATGTGTACATTTTATTACGTAATTTATGAAAAGCAATGGAGAATTTAGCCAAATTATATTTCGAAATGTGTAACTTTATATTCAGACAAAAAAATATTTGTTTAAAAATTATATTTCTTGCTATCTGAAATATTTATACAACAGCCACCCGTGGCTGTATAAGGAAGGCTTCGCCAGGTTCTGAATGTTTCGCTTATTACATTCAAGTATGGAGTCAAAAATATCTATCAATGGTATAATGTATATCTTGACCCACCGCCTATATACCCAATATAATGACCACTATGCGAAACATCTTAACGAATTTGAATATAATAAATGTTTAGTTTTTATTGTTGTACTGAGGTATCTTAATGGAACTGGGTAAGCATATTACCTAAAAGCTGATATTAGTGTACAAAAAATCCGAAAAATTTCGTGTAATATCAAATACAGATTTCATACACAACAGTTACAATTTGCAACGATGTTTTGTTAGTTTATAATATTTACAGCAAGTGCTCGCATTCTGCATCGAAAAGGTCTATTAGAGCGGAGTTTCAAAAACCTCTTCTTCTAATTTTATTAAATTAGCGGGTAGGTCCGCCTCGACAAGTATGCAAAATAAAACCGGATCGACTGAAACTGAAAACAGTAGCCGTATGCGAGAATGTACTACACGATACTAATTTTCTTGTAAAAATAATTTGGTCTGTTGGCCGTTAAGACTGTTAACATTTTATATAAAAATCAGTATTTTTGAGAGCATGAAAGGTTTTCGTTGCTTCAATTCTTCATTTCTCGAATCACGCAATTGTTTGTGATTTGAGCTCATTTTACAAAAGCTATTGCGAAAGCCCGTCGAGTTTTTAATGAAGGGATTTGAAACAAAGAGGTATCTTGGTATGAAGAAATTAAATATTATAGATTATATTTTATGTATGTAAGGTGTCTCCGCTTACTCTATAAAATAATTGCAATTTATGAACTATTTGAAAATGTAACAATAATTTCTTATCCATAATTTGAAATATTTTGCTTTAAAGTACACAAGCTAAATATTTACATTGGTAGTAACGGGTGTGATGATGATTTGGGGACTAGTTCTTTAACAACAAATAATCCGATAAGCGCTGAATCTTCAACAAATTCTTCAAACTTTATGCAGCAAACCGCGGTAGAATGGTTAAACGCAATGAATGAAGCTCAAACATCTGTCGGTGAGTACAATAATTATTTTCATATCAATATACAATTAGAGCTATATCTATGAAAATTCACACATCGAAATGGTTAGAATATTTACGGTAAAACTATTTTCAAGTAAGAATTACATTGTTGCAGTATATATTATACTTTTCGAAATAGCAGTAAAGAAAACTATGGATTTTCTATGTACGATATTCGTTAAAGAGGCTGTGATAATTTGCAATGAATATATGTATTTAAATATGAAATGATAACTTAATAATTTGAATTTTTGTTTTAATTGCGCTTGAATAACGGTGCCTCTATTTTAGATTTAATCCGATTGAAATTCTTACATTTTGTTAATAAAACAAATGCAATAAACATAAAGTATGCCCCTTCTCACTTGCCAGCATATACTTGATAGTTGAAAAAAAATCACAAACTTACTTAGAAGAGCACAATTCTGTTTCCCAAATCTCATTTCAATAGATTATGTATCACAACAAAAATTGTTACGTATTGAATATATTGATTTGTGTTATTGATAAGCTCCTTAAGTAGGAACTTAATAGGTACTAATGAGTTGGGAATACTGAGAAAGTTAGAGCGATTTGACTGAAAAATGGGATGTTCTACTAAATGAATACACATACATAGGTAAAGTTAAAATCAGAACTAACTATGACTTCACGGCGTAATAATGCTATTTTGGTTTATAAATTATTTATAAAGTTAAATTACTCTTATATTTATTTTCAGAAGACAACCATAGTTCGCAAGGAAGCTTATCTGGCGATGGTGAGTTAAAAATAATAAATAATTTCAAATTATAGGGACTTTATGGACTTACTTCGATGAAGGCCATCACCGCACGCAAAGAATTTTAAAAATTCTTGAATGATATGACCTACGCATTTCATAGAGATGTCAATGATGTGAACTAATTATTTTTATATTACGTCACCTAACACAATTTCAAGAATTTTAACGATATTTCGGGCGTTACTGTCTTTTGTGCTTTCCTGAGTGGAGCGTATCATTAACATAATGGAAGGGGTATCGTAACTTTGAGATCAATAACTTGAGAACGATTAATAAATGTCATAACAGTTCTTGTTAAAATCCCAAAGCCATGTCAGCACATATCTGTATGTATAATGCACGAATGCAGAAATCTTGCTTTAAAAAATTAACAAAAAACAAGCAAGGAAGGGCTAAGCTCGGGTGTTACCGAACATTATTAACATATTGCGAACGAGTTCAACATTTAATTTGGTATTTTACTGAGTTATATTATAGATCATAGACTCACTTAGTTTTATTGTTATATTTTACTTCGTGTCACCTAAAATTTTTTTCTTCTTAGAATTGCATATTTTATTTTTTGTATTGTTAATCATTTTGTTTAGAATTGAACATCAATTAAAGGGAAAAAAAACTTTTAAAATTTTCTTTGCTACTTCTATCATTATAAAGGAATAAATATACGAAGCACAAACATGTTCTCATTTGTGCTCCCTACTGTACATATCTTATTTGAAGATGTTTTTAATATATATATTTTAAGATATGTACATATATAGCTAACGCGAACTAAAATATAGCAATGAAACTAAGTCTAAGTTTATGGCCGTCACTGTAAGTCGAGGGGATACCAAATTTTAATATAAAGTTTTGATAGCACCTGAAGGAATTTCTCGGCTTGTTTGTTATGTTGATATACGAGTACATGCCCCTGAAGTATGACAAAATTTTCAGCTGTATTCATTGCTTACTTTGTCTGTAGCTGCCGCTAAGGTTAGACTTGTTTTTATGAACTGCCGAGTTTTGCTTTTTAAAATAAAAGGATCTAAGAATTTATTCGTGAGTTCTTGGCCAAAAAGAATACTGTAACGATGCCCCAGCCCACATATTCGCCAGACATGGCTCCGTGTGACTTTTCCCTATTTCCAAAAATAAAGAGAATCTTAAAGGACCGTCGTTTTATAAGCATAGATGACATTAAGATCGCATCGCTGAAGAAGCTAAAAGCTATTCCAAAAATCAAGTTTAATAAGGGTTTTGACGATTAGAATTAGCGCTGCAAGTGCACAATGTCGAATGCGGATTATTTTTAAGGCGACAACGTTAATGCAGACAAATGAATAACAACTGATTTTTTGAACACACCTCGTATGTGTATGTTGATTTCGCTCGAACCACATACTTGGATCTATTATAAGAAAACTCATACTTAAATAACTATCTATAAGTTATTTAAAAATTGGCTGAGGTAAACATTAAATTATATTATTATAAATTTCTAAACTTTTATACTCTCGCAACAAGTTGCTACAGAGTGTAATAGTTTTGTTCATCTAACGGTTGTTTGTATCATCTTATCTTATTATACTTATCGAGTTAGATATAGAGTTATAATATGTCATATAAATGATCAGGATGAAGAGACAAGTTGAAATCAGGGTGACTGCCTGTCCGTCCGTCTGTGAAAGCTGTAACTTAAGTAAAAATTAAGATATCTTTATGAAACTTCGTTCACATGTTTCTTGGTACCGTAAGACGGTTAGTATTGCAGATGGGCGTAATCGAACTACTGCCACGCCTACAAAACGCCATTTATCAAAAATAAATAAATTGCCATAACTAAGCGCCACAATACGTTACAAGACTGTTATTTGGTATACAGGAGCACATTAGGGAGGGGCATGTGCAGCTTAAATTTTTTTTAAAAAGTGTGCTTGGCACCGCTAATGCTATAACAACAAAATTCACAGAGAACTAATTTTTTTAGTACCTCTATCGACAGTGTAAAAATGGTTGAAATCGGGTGACAACCTTGACCACTCCCAATATAACTCTTGGATGGTATGAGATAACTTTGTAGGACCAGCGTCCAAAATTAAAGAGTGGGCGTGGCATTGCCCACTTTTAGGTGAAAACCCATATCTTGGGATCTGCTTAACCGATTTCAACCAAATTCGGTACATAACATTCTTCTCATATTTCTATGTTATAGTGCGAAAATCGGATTACAAGCACAATGATTGTATCGGGATAAAACTTTGCGTGCATAATGGTTTAAAGTGTGCCACCTTGTGACTAAAAATTGTCTAAATGGAACCAAAACTGTTTAAGTGCCTATAGTTGACTTTTTACCGAAAATATCGGTCAATGTGTAAGATATATAATTGAAATTCATATAAAAAATGGTGTTGTTAGTAAATAACAGAGGCAACAGTTCCTACTTATAATTATGAAAATATATAAAGAAATCTCAAACGAGTATACTATTTGACTTTGCGAGAGTATAAAATGTTCGGTTACATCCGAACTTAGCCCCTCCTTACTTGTTAAAAACAACATTTATAGTTAGGTTACTCAATTTTTAACTGAAAAGTATGTGATAGCATTCCGGGTCTATCTTATCTTAATATCTAGAGAATTTAGAAATACAATTGAAAAATTCACGTTTTTATTTTCATCAACACCGCTAGTGTTGTATTTAAAAATTAATTGTTCAACATCTACATTGTGGCCGCTAATGTAGCCCGATTACTGAGCCAGTTATGATCCAAGTATTTAATTCTTACCTTCAGGAATATACTCTCAACTAATCAATTTTTCGTGAACAGGAGTGCAGAAATTGTCTGGCAGTATAACGCATATATTTGGCTGCAGTTCTATTATACTATTTCCAATATCTAACAAATGTTCGTTTATATTTGTGCTGGTGAAATAATTTTCAATTGTACCATATGCGCATATTTTTGATTTATCGAAGTGTTATAACACTTCACCATTGAACGAACAGACAGTATCACCGAAAAGTTCATGGTTGCCGTTTAAATCTTGCATTGTTTACGTCAATGCTTCGAAAATATTTGCTTGCCATATGCACTCATCTCACATTATGATTGAACTTTTTCTTAACACTGCAGCTATTCCGTTATATCGATTCAGCCTTTCTCGAATTATAAATAGTATAACCTACACCACTTTCTTTCATATATGTATATACAGGTTGGTTAAAAAGTTTCTGCGTTCGCAATGAAAAAATACTGTTTTTGGTACGAAATATATTTTTTTATTCAATAAAATCTCCGTTAACTTCACTACACTTATTCCAATGGTCCTCCAATAATTTTATGCCATCCCTATAATAACGTTCCGGAAGCTCTGTGAAATACCCGTCTACGGCTGTAATAGCTTCTTCATTCGACGAAAAATGCTTTCCACGAAGGAATTGTTTCAGGTTTCTGAAGAGGTAGTAGTTGCTGGGAGCCAAATCTGGTTAATACGGTGGATGCTCAAGCAATTCGTATTTTAATTCGTTGAATTTAGTCATTGTTAAAACACCTTTGTGAGCAGGTGCATTGTCTTCATGAAAAATTATTTTTTTTGCTGTAAACCAAGTCTTTTCTCACGAATTTTTTCATCCAAAGGCTGCAATAATATTCAGAGTTGATTGTTTTACCTTTCTGCAGATAATCAATCAACAAAAATCCTTTTGCATCCCAAAAAACTAATGCCATCACCTTCTTTGCTGATCGTTGCGACTTCACCTTCTTTGGAGCCCCTTCAGTCCACTCGAAACGTTCTTGTTTTTTTAAATTTATTTACGATCATGGTGGTAGACCCAAGTCTCATCCAAAATTATAAAAGGATGCAAGAAATCGGTTTTATTCTGCTTAAAACGCTCCAAATTATGCTGAGGAATTTGTTTTCGATCCAGTTTTTGTTGAATTGTAAACGTGTGCGGCACTAACGACACCAAGCATTAGCAATTTCAGGTTTAGTCAAACTTGGATCTTCACTAACAATATTATGATCTTGCTCAATGATTTCTGGTGTGGTTGCGGTTTTTGGTCGTTCTTCGCTTGGATTGTCTTCAAGCCTAGTACGACCACGTTTAAATTCAACAGCCTATGCGTTTGAAGGCGAGGACTGCTTATACACTTCTAACAATTGTTCATAAATTTTCTTTTCGTTTAAACCTTTCAAAACAAAGTATCTAATCACTGTCCGATATTCAATTTTGATTTAGATTGATTATTTTCTTTAGTCTTCATCGAGTTCATCGGATAACCTTCAGATCGTTCAAAAGTAAATAAAACTATTCGACAATTTTCTATATAATTATTATATTATATAATTATTTTCTATATTATAGCCAGAAGCAAAATACTTTCCATTTTAATTTTTGTATTTTTCGGATGTTTATATGTTAGTAAAGCATTAACTAACCTCGTTTAACAGTATGCATTCGCTACGGACTTCTAGCTAAAAATTTTAAGCAATTGTGTAATTTCGTTTCGGTGGCAAACACTGATGATAGTTATCAAAATGAAACTTTCAACAAATAGTTCTTATAAGGAATGTCTCGTCACGTATAAACATTGTCGAAATCAGACCATAACTTTTTAAGCCCCCCGAATCCCAATTATGTGGCTCCTAGTGCCTTCTGGTTACTAACTGGGTAAAATCGGAGCAATACTTCCCCCATGCCCCATATGACCCAACCAAATTGCGAGAGTAGGAAATGTTCGGTTACGCCCGAACATACCCTTTTCTTAGTTGCTTATAATTGCTTATTAAAATTTAGAATACAATTTTTTGCCCCTTACACAAATACCAAAACTCTGAGATTTAATATCGCTTGACAAATCACTTATAACTTATGTTTTGACTTCTAGTTCTTACACCCATTGGGAATGATTCTAATTATAATTATGATGGACTGTTTCATTGTCATTCTTCGACAAACGCAAAGCAGAACAAGTAAGGAAATCTTTATTCCG